CCCCCCCAAAAAAAAAAAAAATGAGGGCTTTAAGATTTAGGGCTTCAGTGCTTTGGAGTTTCGGTCTTGAGGGCTCGAGGTTTTAGGGTGATAGGGCTCTGATAGGGCGTTTATGGTTTGAGGGTTTTGGGTTTAGGCTTTTAGGGTTTCGGGGTTTTTTGTTTATAATCCAGAACCAAATACGTAGTAGGGCGTCGTTTTCGTGCTCAAGACCGCTGCTCTTTGCTCAAACGCCGCCTGTCTGGTCCTGAAGTTGCAATGCATACCGTCGTAGAACCGCAGACCACTCTCAGCCCAGACTCGGAAATTATAGGACCATACCAAGGTGCTCCACTACGGAGGCCCCTTTCATGCAGGCCTAGTGAAACTTGACTTAACACTTGCTCCGTACGACCCCGTCTCAGCCGAGGACTCCTACGCCCGTGTGCTTTGAATAAGGGATCGTAAGGGCTCCCGTGATCTCCCGTGAGGGTTTTACGAATTTGGGCATCATGTTCAGGGTTTATCCATGGGCCCCATAGTAGTTCCTTTTCGGGATTACCTTATAGGACCCCGAAAAGAAATACATTAAGGCCTCCGGGCAGTTAGGATTTGGATCCACCCGGCACCCTTCTGGCTGCACTGCTGCGCCCCTGCGCCATCGAAGCCTCCGGTGCTTGCAGCTTGCTTGCGCTGATGGGGGCTGGCGTATGTCTCATAATACCCAAGGTTCCAGCAACCCATGCTATGAATAATGCCAATGAAAGCAGCAAGCCACGCTACAGTGGCCGTACATCGTCAACCCAAGCATACGCAAGTCAAGGGGCAGCATCGATCCCCTCGCCTATCGACGCAGCCAGGGGGTTTCGGAATTGAGGCTTTCGGGTTCGAGTTTTCAGCGCAGAGCGCAGGCAGCATGGTCAAGAAGAAGGGAAGAGCCCAAGGGCTGGTTCTGTCCAAGACGGGCGGATCCAGCAAGACTAAGGCCAGAAGAGGACTTCGACTAGCTCTTTGGAGTTTAGAAGTAGCCCTAAAGATCCAAAGGACCCGATAATAAGGTACTTTTGGGTTTAGGGTTTAGGGTTTAGGGTTTAGGGTTTAGGTACTTTGGTTGCGGATAGTAGTTATTTAGGTTAATATGTGGGAGAGTATATGATTATTAGGTACTTGGACCCTTAGGGTAGTTCCAAGACCCTAAACGTTAAACCTGAAGGCCTAAAACCCTACACCCACGGGCGCATCAGGAGGACGAAGAGCATCGGTAACATTCGAGAGTAGGGCTGGCTTTTGTTGGGAAGTCGGATCCGTAGTGGTCGTGACGATCGGCTTAGGGTTCAGGGGTTAGGGGGGCTCATAGGGTTTAGGGCTTAGGGTTTTAGGGCTTAGGGTTTTAGGGTTTGGGGTTTAGGGTACAAGGATTATAGGGTTTAGGTATCGTGCTGCTGCGGGTTGAGTCCGGGACGGCCGTAAAACTGGAACCGTCAGCCCAAGTCAAAGCGACTGAATGTCCAATGAGGGCGAAGCACTATGATTGACTATGACTCATACCATCATTGCTACCGTCTGGATGATTTCCGATTTTGCTACTCACTTACTTAGTTAACTAACTTCTAAGGAAACACAAGCAGCTCTTCTGCATCAGGTTCCAAAGTCGAAAAAACAGAAGCAGAAGCAGAAGCTGCGAAAGGGCCAGCTGAAGACCAAAGCATCTGCATCGGCGAAAGGAAGCCGCGCATTCCGGTTCCGGATCAGCAAGGGGAGTTGTTGCAATTCCGGGCCTTTGTTGGCAGTTCATTTGATCCGGAAAGGTAGAACAGCCAGATGGATGCGAATTTGACGGACGCAGAAGAGGGGCTTATCCAGTCAGTTTCCACAGAGTATTGAAGCCACAGTTAGTTCTAGAGATCTACCACTGAGATTCCTGCATCTGCAGGTTTCATCTGAATTTTTAGTGTTAGGCTCCACAAACTGAAGCCCGGAAACCCAGAACCCTCGTGACCATGCTCCCGTCCAGAGCTGCATATTCCTTCAGTTGAAATCAGACCCAGTTTTGGGTTTAGGGTTTACGGTTTAGGGTATCGCCGGAGGACCCGCGAAACCCAAACCGGAGGCGGTCGCAAACGAGGCCACTGCGCGGAGGTGTAGAGGTTCGATGCTTCGTTATGGCTCAGGGCTGGTAGGCGTTTATGGCTTCAAGGGCTGAAGGGGTTTAGGGTTGGAGTAGGGGATTTTAGAATCCAGGGTTAGAGGGGTTTGTAGGACTTAGAAGGTATGGAGGATGTAGGGATTGTCCTTAGCTTACATATGGTTTAAGGTAGGGTTTGGGGAGGTTCGGAATTTCGGATACTGTTCTTCTGCCATCATCGCTTTGCGCCGCTCGTGTCGAAGCCCGAATTTGCAAAGCCCGAGACTATTGACTAGTGTGGGCGGTGTTGAACTGAAGTCTCACGCTTGAGAAGACTCTGCACGCATGTAGTCGGCAGTGAATTCGCGATCCACGACTGCACCCCCACCCTAAAAAAGCCAAACACCTTGACCGCCAGAAAATCACAGACAAGGACTGAGCCTATCAACCCTAAGGCATTGAACCCGAAACCCTAAACCCTAAACCCTAAACCCTAAAAACCCTAAAGCATTGAACCCGAAACCATGATAGATTGTATGCTCCTGCTTCCGGCCTCCTGTCCAGAAGCCTTCGTTTGCACCTGGAGCGTGTCATGCAGGGCTTTAGAGTTGAAGGCGTTCAGTGGGGTATTGCTGCATATCCGGGCTGTCCGGATGGCATTATCAAATAGTAAAATACTACCCTAAACCCTAAACCCAAACCCCGAAACCCTAAACGCTAATTTTGCAGGTATATCGACAGCAGGCTTGTCGACGGACGGAAAGTGGGTTAGCTCTAAAGGCATAGCCTCTAAACCCTAAACCTAAACCCAGACCCGAAGCGGCAAGCCCGAAGCCTTCAAAGCTATCCCGGAACCCAATCGAGCTCTTGAAACCCACTGATCCCCGAAATCCCTTTCAAGAGGCTTTGGAGTTTGGGGTTTGGGGCCGAAGTCCCTTTCCAGAGGACAGCGGCTCTGATGAAGTCGGGTCCCCGTCGTGGCTTAGGGGTTTGGGTTCTCACGGAATCTCAGGTCTTAGGCTTCAGGAAACTTCAAACCCTAAACCGGCGGCTTTAGGGTCGTTAGGGGAGAGTCTGAGTTCTCAGCCTTAAGAGCAGAATCTTTAGGCATCTAAAGTTCACCCTCTTCTGCTTTGAGGGTTCGGGGCTTCTCGGATTTAGGGCGGCGGGTCTGGGGCGTTAGGTGTGAGGTTTTCGGTAGTTGAGGGTTTATGGGTATAGGGCTCCGGGTTCCGGGGTTTAGGTTCAGATCATCATGGGGTCAGGGTTGGGTTTGGGGGGTCAGGGTTCAGTCTGCTTGGGGAGTTTAGGTGAAGGGCCCACCCTAAATCCGAACTCCTGAGCCCTACACCCCAAACCGGGTTTTTTGGGGTGGGTTTCGCGATTTGGGAGTTTCCGAAAATTAGGATACCTTATTTTGGGGTCCTTATAATAAGGATCCTACTATTTAGGGTACTATATTAGGATCCCCTATTTTCGGAAGCCCCCATTTAGGTTTAGGGACGTGTGTTTTGGAGCCTAGGGTGTGGTGATTTCAGCGGCAGGGTTGGCACCTGCCGCCGAGGCCCCACTGAGTTCGGGTCGTTTTTGGCAAGTCGTCAGTTTGCGTGAGCTACTATGGGAGCCGAAATAATTACCAATACTATCTTGGGGTTTCCTTATTGTAACTATAGTATACTGGGCCCCAAAACCCTATTCTAGTTATCAAGGCCCCTATATTGCGGTGTCTTGGGTTTTGGTACGCTCGCAGACAATGGGAAACCTCATTCAGGGCAACCTCCATAAACCCAAATAGTATGTTTTGGTGTAGTCGGGGTCACGGTTTCGGAGGTTTTCGGGACTAAATATGACTAGTTAAATAGGGATCTATGAACTCAACACGAAATCCAGCGAAAACGTTCAAATGTGTGCAAGAGAGAAGGGCCTGTCTAAACCCCTAACCCTTCGGAAGCAAACGCGAACGCCAATCACTAATGGTCTAAAACCCAAAGCCCTCCGCCTCCGTGCCAAGGAGATATCCGAGGACGACGTGGACCCTGCCGAGCGCGAGGACACGCTCGGTTCGTGAACTGACTGGCTTCAGAGGGCTAAGGACTTGTTTGGCATTGTTGAGCAAGGATAGTGACTAGGAAGACACTATCCCACCAAGGCCAACGCAGGGTAGTTGGTCTCCCTGTCCCTTCCAGGTGACTTTGAAAGTACAACACCCAGGCACCCTACAAGCCTTCAACTGTAGGTTTTGGCTTCAGCTTTAGGTTTGGCTTCTGCTTAGTTTTGGGCACAGGTACACCTGCTGCATCTCCCTGTGCCCCCCAAAGCCCGTAACATCCTTGATCAAACCCCATGGAACCTTTGACCACGAATCCCAAGCCCTGCAGGCCATAAACCCATTGCACTGAACCTCCAAGCCGTTTCAAAGTACACCCCTAGACCCTAGACCCTGAACCCTAAAACTCCGAAAGCCCTTACAACCTGAAGCCCCAAACAGCTTGACCGTGAAACCCTGGAGGTTTAGGGTTTAGAGGTTTAGGGTTTAGGGGATCCTTAAACCCTGACAGATCCTAAACCGTAAACCCCTGAAATCCTGAAAAGCTGCCCGGAGCGAGGACTACATGTCCCGACTCATTGCGTTTTTGACGCCTGGGATGCAGGGAGGCGTGGAGGATGTTCTGAGGATAGTTGAACGTTTCAGAAAATGTGGGCCCATTGCACAATTGCACTCTCCTTTCAGGGTGGCCTTGAAGTAATGATTCTGTCACTTAGTGTCGATGTTGGCATCTGCTGTATCCTACGGTTTGTTCGATTTGTTCAACTTTCCGTTTAGAGTCTTCTTGCTTTCGGTTTCAGGGTCCGTAGGCCATCCCTTCTGACTAACATGCTCGAGCTTTTGCAGCACTCGCCATGGACTCCACTGTCAGTTAATCCCACCACCCTAGCAAGCCTCGCTGGGAGGCCTATTTAATGAGTCTCACAGTACATTACTATTGCTATCACTGTTACTATCACTGATACCTTTGCCATTGCTGTTACGACTAGTATTATTGTTAGTCATTATTTCATGATTATTAATATTCTTCGTATTACTGTTCTTGTTATTATCGTCATTATTGTTATTACTAGTAGTAGTAGTAGTAGAAGTAGTAGTAGTAGTAGTAGTAGTAGTAGTTGTTGTTGTTGTAGTTGTAGTTGTAGTAGTGGTAGTAGTAGTACTAGTAGTAGTAGTAGTAGTAGTAGTAGTAGTAGTAGTAGTACTAGTAGTACTAGTAGTAGTAGTACTAGTAGTACTAGTAGTAGTAGTAGTAGTAGTAGTAGTAGTAGTAGTAGTAGTAGTAGTAGTAGTCCTAGTAGCAGTAGCAGTACTAGTAGTAGTAGTAGTAGTAGTAGTAGTAGTAG